TCGTTCTTCTTCCGTCTCGTGCCTATATCTCCAACAAATTAAAGAGCTAAACTCGGTGTTCTTACTTAAAAGTGAACTTGTGAACAGTTTTCACATGATTCAACGTGTTTGAGGCCATTCTTGAATCCTGGAAGGTATTTGAATTTAAACCTTCGCGCGTCAACTGCGCATATTCTTCTCTTAGGAAGCAACAAAGAGCGGACAACGGGAGAAACGCGGAGGAATTTGAAGTGCATGGGATGACGGGACGTCACGTGAGATACATGGTAGTGATTTCAAAGGATAAAGTCAAGCATTGAGAATGAGATAAAAGCAGAATCATTTTTCTTAAATTTGAGTAAAAACGACTTTAAGAAAGTCATTTTTGCATGTTTCCTTTGAATTTTCCCTCCAAATTCAAGATTTCTGAAAGTTGCGTAGTTGTCTGCGTTTTCAAGCGCAACTGCGAAGGAATGATCTTAAGGTTGAGATAGTTTAGCCGCAATAAATCTTCCGAAAGTCATCTTAAAAAATGAGGTTCATTGCCTTTAAATAAATCGCTAGACTTCTAAAATTGAAAGTTGCGCAGCTGTCAGCTGTGTTGTGGATAAGTTTTTTTGTCAAATGGGTGAAAAAACGGACTTAAAAACTTCAGTTTGACTTAGCAATCGAAGAAAACGGAAATCACGGTTTTTATTTCATTCACTCAAAACAAAAAATTGAATGTTGCGCAGTTGTTTATTTGAATGTACGTTTCAAGAGCTACATAATGATGTACAATTTGCTTACATTAATTTGCAAACAATGGTTAAAAGGCCATAAGAGCCAAATGCCCCGTGGAATACGGTTAGTTGCGGAAAGTGTGTTATTTCGAGAGGCGGCAGAAAATGACCAGAGCGGAAGGGGCATGGCTCTGGTAGCTTATCTCGGCTCCTACTCAACGAAACCCCCAACATCCATATACCATTCTGCTCAGAATCGTATAGAGAATTCAGCTGACGACTGTGCAAATTTCATAAATCCCATCTCAACGAATTATTCTCTACATGCTATTGATTTTCACTTCTAACTCCAAATCATGAAAATTATTATCTCCAACGATGCATACGCTTCGAAGTTCTCAAACACATTACTTGCTTTGGAAGAAATAGTTATGAGGCGGATTCAACACTTATTCCTCACATTTTGTACCCTTTCCAACTTCAACTCCTGCCGTCAAAACCACGTCTTTTCATTCTCACTAAAATTCTTGATTCTTATGTACTACGATATCTCAATCTTGATTCATTAACAACAAGTAAAAATCTCCTCCCTCTATTGATCTTAAAACCTCAATCTTCAAACTTCTAGTGTGTAGAAAAGTCGATGTCCGGGGCTTCGCCACGGTCCCT